ACATGGGATATTACCGGTGATATATTAGCCAGGGCTTTGGTTTGTCAATTCTGATGGTCAAGGTACGCATATAGTATGCAACACCTTGTAAACTTCTTTAGTCACTCATTTGTTAAGCACTTGCTCCGTTCGTGTCAAATAAACTAATATGGCGTTTATCAAAAATTTCTGATGATTTTTTTTTTAAAGGAAACTTTCACAGAATCATGTAAGACTATTTAGAAATATTCTGCATTCTACCTGCATCGGTGGTGGATAAATCGAACTTGCTGACGTTTCGCCAACCATCATGGAGATCTCACAGCTGGTTCTGTTCATAAATTTGACCGTTACAAGAAAAATATGTTCCAGACAAGCATTTTTCAATTCGGTTGAATAGGTTTAATTCCAGATGCCCGAATTGCAATATATCTGAAAGAGCTATGTCAAAACTAACCAGAGAAACAGAACAAAAAATATACGACTATGACTAAGTCATAAGCAGTTGCCGAAAACAATAATAAAACCGAAATCTCATTCGATCAAATTAAATCAATCAATGTAATCAATTTTTCTACCCGGAAATATCCGAGAATCTATAGAAATCTCTAAACAACCGCGACTCTTTCTTTCACTAATATGGAAGTCTGAGACAATGTTCATGTCCCTCTTTTAGCACCGCCTCTCTTAAACAGTATATAAGTGGATTTAGAATAGAATGTGAGCAAGCTTCACTTAAGCTCTGAAAAAGCGATCGGGATGATTGGCGAAACGTCAGATAGCTTTATTTATAAACAAACGATGCAGTTGTCTCTGTTCTTTATAATTTTATAAAAATTTAAAAAGTCCTTATTTTTATTAAAACTAAAATAGTAACTTCTAATTCTTCTTCCTAAATATTCCAAATAACTAACATTGGTCCATTTTAGACCAACATTAAACACATACAACACAGTGATACGATGCCTCAGTTGGCCTTGTAAAAGAAAATAATTGAAAATTACATTAATTTCTAAATTAACAGTTTTTATTAATTTGGTACAATAATTTATTGATCTGCAAGTAAGTCAACTGTCAAGAACTTAGAAAACAATTTTGAAAAATAATATTTAAATATTAGTATTTACTTTTTACAAAACTTCTAGGTTCCTCCTGCGTCGGTTTTTGCTGAGTCGAACTTGCTGACGTTTCACCAATCATTCTGTTGACTTCTTCAGAGCTTGATTGAAAGTGGCTCGCATTTTACTCAGTACCTGCATGTTGGTGACAGGTGAAGACCAGAGTCGCGGTTAAGATTGTTAGGTTGTTTATAGATTTCTATAAACTCTCGGATTTTTTGTTGATAGAATAATTGATTACATGCAAGAATTTTAGTGTGATTGTGTTCAGCAACAGCTGATGGGTTTATTTGTCTTAGTCGTAAGGCTCCTTCATATTCTTTGAGTCGAGTTGATATTTTTCGTCTGGTTTCTCCAATTTATTCTTTGCCGCATATGCATGGAATGCTGTAAATCTCATCTCAAATGGAATTTTATCTTTGACGGACCGAAGATGTCCAGAGATTTTGGACAAGTGATAAGTCTGGTTTTGACGTTATACTTCTTTAGAACTTTTGATATGTGTTCAGTGATATTTTGAATGTAAGTGGCAAGTGTAGGATTGCTTTCGGCCTCATTGCTATTGGCTCATTTAGCTCCGCCCCCCTCAAACAATATATAAGCAAGTACAGAGTAAAATGCGACCCAGTTTCAGTCAAGTTCTGAACAAGCCAACAGGTTGATTGGCGAAACGTTAGCAAGTTCGACTGACCAAACACCCACCCAGGAGGAACCCAGAAGTTTTGTAAAAAGTATTACAGTAGCCTGTTTCTTTGAATAATTAATATTAGTATTTATTTTCAATTATTAAGTTGTAAAAAAAGTCTTTTAGATTTCCATTTAAAAAATATTGGTTATTAGGGCACCCCAGAAATAAACACTTTTTATGCGAGTTTAGGTCTAATCATCGCCTGACTAACGTAGATACAAGTGCAATATTTCTGGCAAACATATTACCTTAAAATCAATCAAAGAATTACTTTCCGAAATCGCGCGACGTATTAAAGAAAACATCTACACAAAGAAATTCAGTTTAGCAAAGAGCTTTAAAAACTAACAATTCTACCAAAAACAAATATAATAAAATAAAAAAATAAAACAGTTCGCAACAAAGTATTTTTCAAAATATAGCGAAAATATGAATCGCCTTATACCCGCTCGACTGTAGACCGTTCATGTTAAAAACGAGAACCGTGTTCTGAAGACGATACCTATTTATATGTACTTTAATACACAATCATTCGGGCATTGTTGCTCGGACGCTCAGAAATCTGCGCAATAAATGAAAATTATACATAAGGACGCTAGGATGCTGGAATGTAAAAGTTTTCCCGTGTATATTGGACGCTAGCAAGTCACCTCTATGGATACGTCTCTGAACGTCCAGTATCGTTTTCTTCAAGATCTTCAAGATCAAAAAATACACTTCACCACAACCTTCCAATAGCAATGAGGCCGAAAGCAATCCTACACTTGCCACTTACATTCAAAATAAAGAAGTATAACGTCAAAACCAGATTTACTAACCAAAACTAACCAGATTTACGACTTGCCCAAATCTCTCAACATCTTCTGTGCGTCAGAGATAAAATTCCATATGCATATGCGGCAAAGAGTACATTGGCGAAACCGGACGAAAAATATCAACTAGACTCAACACAACCGTTGCCGAACACAATCACGAAAGCGGACATAAAATTTTATTCGATAAAACTAAAATTCTTGCATGTAATCAATTCTTCTACCAACGAAAAATCCGAGAGTCTATAGAAATCTATAAACAACAAATAAAGAACATGGACAACTGCGATGAGAGCGGATTCGTTACTCGCCAAAATTAACATTTTCTTCAGAAGGGTATTTGCAAATCTTCTAGATCCCTTCTGCATCGTTTGTTTATAAATAAAGCTAGCTGACGTTTCGCCAATCATCCTGATGGCTTCTTCTTCAGAGTCGCGGTTAAAATTGTTTGGTTGTTTAGAGATTTCTATGGATTTTCAGATATTTCCCTGGTAGAAGAATTGATCGAATGAGATTTCGGTTTCATTATTGTTTTCGGCAACTGCTTATGACTTTATTTGTCATAGTCGTATATTTTTTGTTCTGTTTCTCTAGTTTTGACATAGCTCTTTCAGATATATTGCGATTCGGGAATCTGGAATCAAACCTATTCAAATGAATTGAAAAATGCTTGTCTGGAATAAATATTTCTTTTAACAGTCACATTTATGAACAGGACTATCTGTGAGATCTCCAGGGTGGTTGGTGAAACGTCAGCAAGTTTTATCAACCACCAACGCAGGTAGAATGCAGAATATTTGTAAATAGTCTCACATTATTCTGTGGAAGTTTCCTTTAAAAAACTTCACAAATCTTTGCTAAACAAGTTTGATAAACGCCATATTAGTTTATTTGACACGAACGGAGCGAGTGCTTAATAATTGAGAGACTGAATAAGTTTACAAGGTGTTGCATACTATATACCTTTACCATAAAAATTCACAAACCAAAGCCCTAACTAATATATCACCGGAAATATCCGAAGAGGCTCGCAGCCCTAGGGGACCTATTTAAGTCACACTGTATAATGGGTATTTTAGAGCAGGAATTTGAATTGGAGATTTTTTTAAATGAATTTGGGAAAAAAATTAGATTGTATCCAAGGAACTAAAGAGGCACTTTTTATCCCGAGGCAAAAGTTTATAGAGAATATGTAGAAATCACCTAAAAGTTACTTTAGTTCAGAGGTTTATAAACTAGTTATGCACTTTGAGAGCATATTTATAAAAACATTGTTACGACTTACGTTTAGGTACATTGCAGTGGTAACACATTATTGAATATTCTGTACTTTACTTTTTATCCCTCTCATTACTTGTCCAACTTTATTTTTATTTATATCTTAGATGACAATGAAAAAAAAACTATTGAAAAGAACATCTTTATCGAATAACTTTTATCAAAGTTCATTTCAAAATGATAATTATTGCTAAAATATAGAAATGTTACTTTTCACATTTATTTTGGTTTGAATAAAAGCAAAGGTCAAGAACTTAAATCGTTCAATAAAATAGTGTAAAATAGTTTTTATATGTTGCAGACTTTAATAGGCGACATATTAATATTAATATAATACTATCAAATCAAAATACTTTATTACCCAATTATTTAGATAATTATTTAGCAAATGATATTTTAATTTGCAAATTCCAACAACTTCTTTTCCTATTGGGTTAGACAACCATTTATATTGAATATTTCTATAATATAAATATTTAAATTCGATATTTTTAATATTTCCAACAACACTCTAAATAGTATTTATTAGAAATATTCGGAAGAAGGTAATAGGTCTAAAGATGTTCCTAAAAATTAAAAAAGATTCAGAAATTATTGCATAACATTCGCATATAAAAAAACAAAACTTGTCGTCTCTACATGCTAGCACTATGGAGCGCCAATCGATTTCATTCAATATGAAAAACAAAATAACTAGGCGATGCAGACCCGTTACCCCACAATTTCGCGCCAGTCTGGAAAGTTAATAGTGGCAGTGTTGCCACGTAACAAACACGTAAAGGACGCCTGGAAATCGACGAGCTGAAAGTAGAATATATATTTTAAAATATACAGAGACTGGGTCTCGCGCCTCTACCGGGTATACAGTTGAACTAACAATATACAAGAAAATTCCTTCCTTCTAACAATTTTAATTTGGACTACTTAGATCGTGTATATACCGTTTCTATAGCGTTGCATCCCGGCGTCCATATATGGACGCCCGGTTGTAGATGGACGCTCGGAAGATAGCAAATTGTCATATATTCTTGAGGCTTGAGTTATAAAGACAAGAGTGACTGAGGAGGTTGATTTACTGTAATTCTAACATATTTTACTTATTAATTCTTATCTTTTTATTGCAAGAATTTTTTGGAAAAGTAAAAGACAAGGCCGAAAATATGGAGAGGATCATAAAAGAAAAAGACAAACATGGTAAAGGATTATTGAATTAGCTTTTTAGATTGCCAGAAAAGTTTTGGTCCTTCTTTTCAATGGTGCATTTGTTTAGTGCATGTGAATTCAGTCTTGTCAGCAGAATTAAATAGCTTTATTTACTTGGTTTATTTTTTAACGAAACGTTGAGAAGAGGCTTGTTTGAAGCTAAGTTTGAGTATGAAAATATTTTGGAAGTTTGTGTTTAAATTCAATGTTTTTACATCCGGGGTTTTCTTCAAAATGTTTGTATTTGTGCGATAGTTTTGATGGACGCATATTTTGTTAGTGTTTTCAAGGCCGGAGAAATATGGAATATATTGGGACGTTTATTACCATATAGAATGCAGCAATTTACGTTAAAAAGACAATCCAGGGTTCAGTTAGGACGAGGTTTGCTATGGATGACGTTACCATCCAAAATTTGTTGGTTTTATGATATATTATTCTTACCCAATGTATTAGCAAACCAGGAAGTCGACAATCGGGACTGTTTATACAATGATCCCGATGGATCTGTAAAATGATTAGGAAAGATTTGATTACATCTTTGTCTTTAAACTGACTTTGAGAACCATTGAAACTTACATAAATTGTGTAAAAAGAAATACAATTATTAGTTTTAAATTTGCTAAATGTTTCTCTGCTTCTTTTTTTTTAGGGTGTTTCTGTATTTGCGAGAATCTTACGTACATATTTAAAATTAACCTACCCAAAATTTGTGCTTGGAAATTTTGGCAGACAATTTATTCTTTCTTAACATTTTCACCACTTCGTTGATTAGTTTAAGCATTAAAAAAAAAGTTGTAATTAGCAATAATTTATTTAATTCCCTATAAAATTCAGGTCGAGACTATAAAGCACCCATTCATCAGGCGACTACATAAGTCAAGAGGCTGTACTACATAAACCAGAACTCACGTTATTTAGATTCTCAATTTAATTGAAAGCCATGTTTCATTGCAGTTTGTGGTCATATCACCCTCTTCAGATTTATGCATGGTGTGTATACTGTGTTTTTTTCTTTAATAACAAAAGATGGTGTTTACATTTAAATTTGGGTATTGCACTCCTTTGGACGAATTTTTTGATTTTTCAGTTCATCTTAGAGTGCCTACTAGTGGCCTTTTCGAACTTCCATTTTAAAAATTTGATTTGGTAACATACTTGTTGCATCAGTATTTGGAATGTATTTGATAGGTTTCGCATGTGTCACGTATCATCTATAAAACACATTTGATTTTTTTGTTATAGATTATATTATTAGATAGGTTGTCCGAAATAATTTTATGTTAGCCTTGTTTGTTTTTGATTTTGTGTTTGAGCTTGTAGGTTTCTGTTTGAATGTTTTAAATTTGCCATCAAATATCATTCCATTTGTTAATTCTACAAAAGTTCTTATGGTATTTCAGAATTTTCTAGGGTCTGTAACCATATTATTTATATATAGGTATATTGGCAAAAATGAAGGAAGGCGCTGAGACAGTACACACTAAAATTCAAGCCAAAGCCGAGAGTGTCTTAAAAGGAGGTGATAACTGCAAAGGTTGGTTTAAGCGAATTGATGGGTATATCCTGATATATAACAAATAAAAACGCGGGTTTTCGTTATATTTTATTTTTTAATATATGTGCCTTGTGTAAGTCTTTAAAATGGCGATGGCAAAGTGCGTATCTTATAGCGTGTGTAACAATCTGTAAAACGCTCTTCCTGTCATTACTGTGTTACTAATCAGAACCTCAGTCCTAAAAAAACGCATATGTCAACAAATTATCTGCTCAAGCTTAGTAAGTATTTTTGAAGTAACTCTGACAGTCTGTAAGTTTTATATTTTTTAAGATAGTTTTTTTTTATCTTGGTTCACCTAAAACTGTGTGTGCACTATATTGCTTTCAAAGAGGGAATCGACAGCCTCATGTATATTTTTTATAACCCTGATTTTTATTGTTAGAACATATTAGACTTTTTTATTAGTTCATTCGTTTGACCAGACTTTGCTCATTTGTAGTAAAAATTGCAATTTTATAACAAAAAAAATAGAATAAAACTGAGACAAGTGTTTCTCGTTACTTTGCTAGCTGCACAACGTTTCGAACAAATACCACTGTCTGGTATCAAATGTGAAACTATATATTTACCTCAATTTCTATTTTTGAAATGTTACTTTTGAGAATCCGTTATACTATGTTTTACTAAACGCAACTCATTACATATCAAACAAACATTACAATAAGAAATTTATTAGTTATACAATAATTACAAATAATATCGCTCGCATTTGATGTGTAAGTAAGTAACTGCAATGATCGATTACAGACGAAAGTTTAAAGTATAAGAGTAAATTATATTTTTAAGAAATAATAATGCGTTCACCCATCCGGTTTATAAAATAAAGACTATGTTAGTTTAAACAACTCTTTAACTAAATACACAATTGAAAATTGTGATTTAGGTCTCCAACAAATAAATTAAACTTATAGTTATCTGCGATTCCATTCTGTGTGATGTATCTTCGCGGATGTAAGAAATTCACTGAAGTTATGAAAGCGATATTGCAAAGCCCAACAGTTCTTTCAAGATAATCTTGTTTGTTTTATTATTATTGTTTATTAATTCCGCTAATGCAAGGAAACTAGTTTGCAATCGCATAATTTGTGTGGCCTAAATATGTATATAAATATGGTCAAAATATAATATTTATTATTTTTTTTACATGTTGCCATTAATGCATATCGGACCCCAAAAATTCGCTCTGGGATTCTAACCTTGGAATCACCGCGTATAATTTAATAAAATTTTAATATGATATATTAATTGAAAAAAATATAATAAATATAAATATCAATAGAAAGACTTCATGGTGTGATTTTCATTTTAGAAAAAAGCTATATATATTTACAATTAAATCATATTCTGGGAATTTGCCCACAACTATGTTACAAAAATCGAGATTTTTCAGAAACTGTTCGCATACGATATCCACACTTCCACTCGTTTTTGCGAACTTGTCTGTATTATCAGCATATATCTAGTAGTGATATGGTCTGCAAAAGTATTTCTTTCACACTACTCCTATTTTAGCGAAAGAAGTTTTTCATTGAAGTGAAATGAACATCTTATGCGAAAGAATAAACTAATAAAAAACGGGAAACTAATGGAAAAATTATTTATTTTAAATAAAGCACTGAAAATAGCGACTGATTCGAAGATGTTTACAACAAAAAAGGGTTTTGGAATTGACCGGTCAAATATTTTTGTGTTAATTGACCAAAATAATTTAAAAAATACCATGAAATTTATATTTATTTATATTGTGGGTTACATCGCCGTCGCGTCTTTCTGGGAACCAGATGAAATCAATATTATTGGGATTTCCCGAATTACACAGAGTCTTCAAATGTTTTTTGAAGGGGACTATATGTAAATTGGACATCACAAACGCATAATTATTTGTTATAAAATACATGTTATTATTAAATAATGATAACACTCTACAATTGCAAGATGTTTGACTAGTCAATTAAGAATTGGTCAGTTGGTTAGCCCAAATACTACAACAAGATCTATTAATGTAAATCTGATCGAATGGAGCGAGTATAAATAACGGGTGATTCAATAAGAGTTTCCACATTACAATCTGAAATATTTTTGAAATGCCACTGTATTTGTTTATTATCATATGAGATTTATAACCTCAAAACATAAACAAAATTAGGCATGGAGCAATATACGACTGAACAACGTGTAAAAATGGTGCAAGCCTATTATGAAAATGGTCGATCAAGAAAAAATGCATTTCGGGCTCTACGTGAATTTTTCGGCGCGCAAAATCGACCTTCTGGGAGGACAATTTGGAATGTGGTTCAAAAATTTGTTTGCAGAATGGATACGAGAACAAGGAGTTCATTTTTCAACGAAAATCATCTTAAGCGATGAGGCACAGTTTGACGTTGGTGGCTTTGTAAACAAACACAATGCTAGTATTTGGGGATTAGAAAATCCAAGAGAGATTGTTCAAAAAGCAATGCATCCCCAAAAAGTGACTGGTGCGGAGGAATAATTGGCCCTTTTTTTTCGAGGATAATGCGGAGAACGCTGTTACGGTTAATGCTGTTCACTATCGAAACATATCTGATTTTTTCTGGGAGCAGTTGGAAGGTATGGACATTGAAGATTTGTGATTCCAACAGGATGGAGCCACTTGTCACACATCCAGAGAAACGATGCAATTGCTGCGGGGCAAGCTTCCTGGTCGGAGTATCTCACGTAACTGCGATATCAATTGGCCGCCGCGATCATGTGATCTTACTCCCCTAGATTTTTTGTTTCGGGTATCTAAAAAGCAAAGTGTATACAAATAAACCAAACACTATTCCAGAGCTGAAACAGGAGATGAGACGCGAAATAGCCGGCATAGAAGCTGAATTGTGTCAAAAAGTGATAGGAAATTTCAATAAACGAATTACGTCATGCCACATGAGTCGCGGGGGCCATTTGAATGACATCATCTTTCATACCTAATTGTAATACACTAATCTAAAATGGCAAATAACAATGTTTGTATATTTTTATATTCTTCCGAGTTTTTTTTATTATTTTAATGTGGAAACCCTTATTGAATCACCCTTTATAATATGCACTTCAAAATAATCGCAAAGTTGCACTTTTCCCAGAAGCGAGGCTTTTTTCTTTTTACTCTGTTGCTCGTCGAACGATGATTATCTCGGGAAGGGGATATTTTATCTAGCTAAATAAAGCATGCGTTATTTTGCAGATAAATTTTTGACCTCTAAGTGTACTGAAAATTTAGTAATGCATATAATTTGGTCCTTGTAGGATATCTCTGTTTCAAACATTAGTAAAACAACTATGGAAAAAGTCAGTCAAATTTTGTGATTAAGAAATACTCTCGGGACACTATAATATGTATTTATTAATATTAATACTGGAATAGACTTCATTATTTAATTTAATAATTAAACCTGATATCCTAAACTCATGCTAATTAAAAGCTTTATGGAGGTTTTCGTTCTAGTTTTCTCTTAGTAGTTGTTGTATTTAATTATGTTCTCTAACACTCAGGTTTTTAATATGATAATGTTTTTCTATTTCAAATTGACATTCAATTACTAAATAGTTTTTGTTTTTGTAGTAAATGTTCGATTTTGTTTAACTGCGTTTTAGACAGCAATGATAATTCGAGGCAAGTGGTCAAGCCTGGATCTCTGGGGGTGCTTGACACGTCGCATGGTATGGAAATTGCACAGCTACTTCTATCTCTGTTGCATTCTTGGGGCCTAGATGATGATCTTGATCGCGTTTGTCAAGTAAAACTGGGCTTACTGAGACCAATGGTAATATACAAACATGTATAATTTACTACAAATATAAGCAAAGTAAAGATGATAATAATGGCGTAAAACGATACAGAATTTATAAAAACACCACACAACAAATTTGGCAAATTTTATTCATTAACAGGCAAAAGTAAAGTAATATAAAATATGTTTTATTTGTCAGGTGCCTATATCATTTGGTGTACTGTCCAAAGCAAATCATATGTCGCTGTTCCTTCCTACATGGCACAATACAATTCCCATTGATGATGATTTCGGGTTAGACCACTTAGGATTAGCAGACAGCTTACCTCCCGAGCTTTTAAGAAGAGAAAAGATTTGTCGTGTATTTACCAGTATAACTCATTGGGAACTAAGTACAACTTTAACGACTAACCATCTACTAGCTGTGATTGCCTTAAGTCACACCCTTATGAGCATGAGCAATGCAACATTCATACCTGAACAAGAAAGAAATCGAAAGCTGCATAGGTGAATAATAATTTGTTTTGGTTGTTTTGTACATGGTTTAGTAAAAAGCTGTTTTCTTACTTTAGAAAGTCTTAAAAATAAATTTAAGCTGAACTCTGATTTGAATAACAGAGGTACCAGAAATAAATTACTTAACTTTAACTTTATAATTTTTTGCCACTTGATTTAATAAATGATAATGTTGAAAAATTCAAATACGTTTATTTAACAAGCAAGTAGAATCACGCTTATTTTGATAAAAAACAAAATGAGCATTTTTCATTGTACTAAAATGGCTTCTAATATAAGGTACTTTTTATTAATTTTTATTTTTATAAACGTATGGTATTTTTTGAGGGCGTCAACAAGACTTAATTGGAGTAAAACAGATGAGGAACAGGAGGAAATATACACCCAGCAGCAAGCCCAAATTAAGCAAGGCTGGTCTCTTTTAGCAACATTGCACTGTGTTTTACTTACAGATAAAGTAAGATATTATATTCAATTAAAAAAAACAACATAGATCGTGAATATCATTTGTAGGTGGTTGAACATGGTGCTAAACATTTCAAAAAACCTCAGGTTGAAATGATGGCAAAACGATGGCAGCATCATTGTGTAGAAGTTAGGGAAGCTGCACAAACATTGCTTTTGGCAGAATTGTCTAGGTATCTGGGATATAATTTGGTATAAAAAGCAGTTTTATTATATTAAAACAATTACTTAGGATGGGCCCAAAAGGGAGAAAAATACTAGTAGATTCTTGGGCGCAATATCTTCCTTTGTACACGCAAACTGAAACTATTAACCAGCAAGCCGCTTCTCCACCTATAGGACAGAATAATGTAAATTCGAGTCCTACGCCAAATACACCGGACTCAGTGGTAATAATTCATAGTTTGGATAATTTTATAAATACAAACATCTTTAAATAAAATATTTTAGGATGAAGAATTTGAAGAAGAAGAAGAGCAAGAAGTTCGAAAACCGTCGAGTCTCTCGGAATTGAAAAAGAAACAATCAACTGCTGTCATTTTGCTGGGTGTAATAGGAGCAGAATTTGGCCAAGATATTACAAGTACTGAGAATAATAAGAAGAGAATAAGTGATGACAGAAGGAAGAGTTCATTTGTTGAAGGATTTGGTAAGTCCTTTATTGCATGTTTCTGCTTCTAAGTTAACAAGTAAAATTCTATACTAACAATGTAGCACCTGTAGCAACTCTACGAAAAAGCTGATCAATATGACCACCCGAGGTGAAAGACAAGATGTCATTAAAATCCTTTAAGTTTATCGATTTTTTCATAACTTTTTTAATTCCAGGTTCAGGAAATAACAATTTGGCACGATTGACAGCTATGGCGCTTTCCCATTTGCTTTTAGCGCCTCCTACCCCACGTCTGCCTGCGCATATTCCACTGCGCCGAGCAGCAATTGACCTCATCGGGCGGGGTTTCACTGTGTGGGCACCTTTCCTTGATATTAGCAAAGTACTATTAGGTAAGACCAAAAGTTCTTTGTTTCCATTATTTACCCTGTATAATTTTAGGTTTATTAGAATTGTGCTCGGAGGCTGATAAACTAGTTCCTAGTATGACATACGGACTTCCTTTAAATGCACAAGCTGATTCATGCAGGACGGCTAGGCACGCCTTGACCTTAATCGCCACTGCAAGGTTAGTATTTAAAACTTTCGACGATGCTAATAGATCAGTTTCTTTTAAAAATTCTATTTACCCTATTAATTTTATTATTTACCATTGTTTGCCATGTATCCTCTGTTGAGAAATATTTTATATAAACACTTGTTAACTTAGCATTAACATTAGATATATGTAATTACTACTTTCAATTATGAATTTCGTATTGACATTACTTATAGCATATCAGCCGTTTAAGCGATTTATCCCATAACTCGTGTCAAATTTGTACGCATTTTTAACAAGTATTCAAATTGAATTAATTCATTTCATTCTGATTAAAATATTTTCGTAATTAACGTTGGCGGTAACCCAAGTTTTTAATTCCAAATATTATGTAATCCTGCCAAACTAATTTAGTGTGATATTTGAAATGTTTTAGGCCAGCAGCATTTATAACTACTATGGCTAAAGAAGTGGCCCGCTACAATGCGATGCAACAGAATGCACAAACTCTCAACATTAATATGAATAACAACGTATTGCATAAAGCCAAACCTGAAATTTTAAGAGGTGTTGAACTACTTATTGAAAAGATGCAGACTGAAATGAGTGACCTTCTAGTCGAGGTTGATCCAGTTTTGAATTTGTACAAGTTTATCTATTTGTATATTTTTGCAGTTGATGGACATTATCCTTCACTGTTTGGATCCGAGTCAAATCAAGAATAAAGGATTGCAGGAGGTATTTCCTGCTGTATGCAAGTTTAATCAGGTGTCACACTGTTCGGCCACAAGAAGAATAGCAGGCAAGTGGTCATAAAATTTAATTTTACAGCAAAATTTCCAAATCCAAGAAATGAAACTAGATTATACAGATGTATTTTTTAGTTGGATCGAATAGCGGGTCACTGACGATTTACGAATTAAGACAAAGTAAATGCACAACCATTCCAGCGCATTCTGGTGCAGTAACAGCATGCGCCTTCAGTCCAGATGGAAAATTTTTGGTTAGTTACGCTTGTTCAGAAAACAAACTAAGTTTCTGGCAGACCAGCACAGGTAGGTGAATTTTGGCAAATCTTTTCATTGGATTTATAATTCTCCCAATCAGAAATCTCAGGCAGTGAAAAGATGACCTAAGAACATAGCATACTTTAACATAACATACATATAACAGGTCTAAGTTTTATAGGTTGGCGCCATTTTGACTACTAACAAGAGTAGCTACGATTAAATTAATGGACCACCCTCCTTGCAATGTTTTAAATGTTAAACAAAATTATTCACTAATGAAACGAAATATATATTGGAATTGGGAAAAAACAAGCTAATATTCTCAGAAATATAAATTAAAAAGTTATTAGTTGTTTTCTGAATATAGCTGGACATGGACAAAATATATTTCCTCCAATCACCCAATCATCTCAGTTGTGAAGTAGAATTAAAAAAAAAAATGTATAAATTATTTCTTTTACAGGCATGTTTGGTTTGGGGCAGGCGCAAACCAAAAACGTTAAATCTTATAGTACGGCACCAATTGCGGATGTTGCTCGCCTCAATCCAATGCGACTCGCCCGCCTTATATGGATAAATAATCGTACTGTCACACTCATGTTGGCGGATGGCTCAGAGACCCGATTTAATGTTTAAATGCTTTAGAAGTTAACGGTCGCAATAATTTTTTGAACAATCTTGTGAGGCATTTGTAAAAATGCCAACATAAGTATGTTAAAGCTTGTTGAAAAAAAAACAGAAATGTAACATATTTTTCAAATTTTAAATGTAAAAAAGAGATGGGCGCACAATGAATGTTCATTACCAATATTATAGATATGTATCCTATACAGGATGTCCCAGGAATTGCAACGAGATACAATATTAAAAAGATTAAGGGTTTTTCCTAGATTATAAATCGTGCTATGAGTTACGCGATTGTGATTGCTTCCAGATGAAGTGTTATGACATAATCGGATTAAAAATAATTTTATGAAAAAACTAAACACAACGATATGATGTAGATGTAGGCGGTAAATTTTAATTCATAACCACTGAATTACTAAAGTACATCAGATTTAATTTTATTGAGATTCTTTTAATTTACGGCTTAGGTTATATGGAGTATATAAACCTAAAGTTTAGAGTATAATACTACATTATAAAAACTAGATATTATATACTTTTTTAATTGGATTAAATTAAAATCGTTTGGTTTGCATGGGTAGCATTGATTTCTTGGTCAATAAACATTCGCGTCCGAATATTTATTTGTCAGCAAATTTGGTATGTTTCCGTCATTTTGCTATGTAATTCGTGCGAAATAAAAAATAATTCATCACAATAGCACTTTGTGTGCTATCGTAATGTGCGTAAATTGATTATTCAATCGACAAAGCAAAAAAAAAATTTAAATAGATATAAAAATGTCTTTATCATTTTTTACATCGTCCGAACATTTAGTTGTTAGGGCTGTAGTTGTTTATTTTTGAATATTTTGTGTTTCTCTGAGTATAAGAAAAAATCGTAGATAGCGTTACTTAACAGGAGCCTGGATACTGACCATGTGATAAGGATTCTCTTAATAATTGTTTTTCTTCTAAATTTGGTTTAGCAATCCTGTTGTTGTTTGTATGTCGCTTCTTTTTTGTTGATGTAAATGTCAATTGTTTGACCAATTTTTTGTTTGCTGGTTCTAAAAATTAATTCTTTCTATGTCTGTTCTTATACTCACATTCAGGCAATATGGAATTTGTTTTTAAAGAATTCAGCACTTTTAAGTTTTTTAACATAACATCATATTCATCGGAAGTGTAATGTTTCTTATTAAGGTTTGTAGTTAAATTTAAGGCAGCATTTTTTACCAATATTTTCTTTTTTTCTGTATCTGAGACAATGGAATTATTGGAGACATGTGATGAACTATTTAGGTTTTCTACCAAAATATCAAGTTTTTAGATTGTTCTTCTCCTGACAAAAAATTTAAAACTGATTGATCGTTAAAATCTTTCAACCTTACAATATGAATATGTTTGCATATCATATTTTTAATAATATAGTCAAGACATGTACATTCATAAATATGCCGGCAAATGCTAACAATATCGGCATGTTAATCCACAGCACACATCTTCACTTTTTTGTCTAAAAAGTAAATATGGATTTTCATCTTCTTTTCCTATGAAAAAATAAAACAATTATCACTCCCAGATATTTTTAAATCACTACTGCACATCCCACACTTATTAATCTCAATAAGATGTTTGAAAGTATCACCTTTTGTTACTTTTATTAGTCTACTAACTGCCTTCTGAGTAACAAATTTTTGAAGTGCGTGCGAAGTTTTATCAAGCCTTTTTACATTTTTACCATCCATATATTCATATTTTATTACCTTATACCTGTTCTCCAAAAACATCGTGTTTATGCCTTATTTTTTCGATAACAGTACGCCCACTTTTCTCTGTTATCATAATAATAATTTTATTTCTCGTGTATAATCTCTTGTCAATAGCATGTTGAGAAATGAATGAAGCTGTTTTTCAAATTTTTCCTCACTTAATAATGTTTGCAAATGCTTTAAAGTTTTATAAACTTGACTTCTTTCAGCAATATCTTTCACCTTTGTCAAATTTTGTTGCCATGCCTGGAGTAAAACAAATGAAGAGAAATTGAACCCATTGTTGATATCCAGCTGTTATAGTAAATAAGAGTAATATCTGTCATAAATGTGTTAACATTTGCAACTGTCATATTTACAGCATCTTTAATATGCTTTTAAAAAAATCATAAATGAATTGATGTTTTCTGTTTGAAAACAAAAAAGCCACTGGGAATCTTTCTCGGAATTCATCTAACACTAAGATGGTAGTCATTTCAAAATCATATGAGTTCAAATCATGTGTTCCATCTACACATACAAAATTATCTGCAAGTTTTTTAAACCATTCTTTTTGTATTTTGTTTATCAAAATTTTCAAGACAGTCTTCTTGCTTTTTGTAAAAAATTACAGAATTATTGTCCCCTAATTGAATACATTCAATAACATAGATTTCTACACTTGTAAAATCATTTTTATGCCGTAGTCTATCTTTTAAGGGAATATTAACAGAAGTCTTTATGTTGTTAATGTCCTTCATAGTTAACAGATCAGATCAGAATTTGTTGTCTAATTGTAGATAAAATACTGAAGGAAAAATATAAAAACGTAGTGGAAAAAATAAGAACAGAAGATAAATAGTCAACATTTAAAACTGATCAATCAAAGTTTAAACATTCATTAGGTACCACGTATTACATAACTTTTTTTTTTATTTTGAGAAAATTTTTAGGTAACAATTTCAATGTATTTGGATATAATACATGGTAAATAAAATATTTTAACATTTTTATTACTATTTTTTTCAGTGGATGTGTGCTCCAGTACATATTAAGCATGTGATCAATCACTTAACATCTTTTACAGTGCGTCCGTAACATGTACTCAGCATGTGATAAGAACATGCACAGTGTAATTTTGGAACATGCTTACCATATGCTTTTGCCTTTATGCAATATGTTATGCATGTGCTAAGTATATGTAAAAATGCTATGTGCACACTTACTATTGAGGAGCAACTTCTACAATTTGTTGGGAAGCAAAATTTTCACGAAAATCCTTGGATAAAGGAATGTGCTTCAAATCAATATCATGTTGATAATGGTCTCTAAAATATTGTGCAACAAATTGACCTGATTCAAATTTCTTTAAAATGATTTGGCTAGAGCAACCCAAATTTAATTTTGCTTTGCCCTGAACTTCCTCATCTTGCTTTCGAGGTTCCTGTGGTATTGTTCTTGACTTGCCTGTGAAAAATATAAAGTTTATTACAGAAAAAAGTAATATTTATAGTATATATAAAATCCATCACCTGATCTACTACAATTAAAGTAAGATAATTGTGAGTTGTCCACATTCCACAACCGGTTTCTAGTTCTTTGTTCTAAAGCCAAAAGCTAAAATTCTACTTTGCAAATGTAGGGTTGCCATACGTCCGTTTTTTTAACGAACAGTCCATTATTTTAATGCCATCTGTTTGTTCGATCTGTTGAATCCGGTTGTCCGTTATTTTTCATATATTCCTTGACCCCAAATTTTACTGGGTAAAATTGTGCATATAGAGCTACTTTTTCTAAAAAAAATTCACCTACGGCGCCAGCGCGCGGCGTAACTTAATTTTTTGTAAATTTATAAATAATATGGCAACCCTTTCTATAGAAAAATACTTGAACCAAAACCTCAAGATATATATTATTTAACTTACCTTCAACCCTAAAAAAATTAAATGTTTCTGAAGATATCTGAAAACTGTGCTGAGATTGCAAATGATTCGGTAAGTCTGAATGTTGTCACGCATCCTTCTAAGCATTTAAATATATATTTATCTTGGTAGTAGGCTATTTCATCATTTCTTTCCACATCACTTTGCACTTCTCTTGTGAGTCTATTAAAATTTGACTGAGTAGAAAAAATTTCTTCGCAAATGAAACAAAATACTGGCATACTTTCAACTTTCGTCAAAGTAGGTCCACTAAGAAATCAAAACAAAAATAGTAGTGAATAATGAGGTTTAGTCAACTAAGCAAAACCTAACCAAGACTAACCAATTTTATAATTTATCGAATTATTTAAGTAGTAAAATGTATATTGAAATAATCATTATTTTTCGACGATGAGTTTAAAAACGATTTTTAATGCAATAAATATTAACCAAATTTAAACTTACTAAAACGGTAGGTAATCAAGAAACTTTGACAAGCATCAAATAATGACATGAGACACGGGTTTTCATGCCAACCTTGATATTTATAAATGAATTATTTATTATCTCCAACAATTGACTAGTGACCGAGTTAGTGATTAAATATGATCGAAAAAGTGAATAAATGTTTGGAAAGAGCTAAACATGTCAACTGATTATAAAACAAAATAATAAACATAAATAATAACATTTTATTTGGTAAACCGAAAAAAATAAGCCATTAATAACAACCCGTAAAGTGATTTTTTTCCCCAAAATCCAACTTTACGTAAGCAAGTAAGCAACCAGAATTGCGTCAATCATAGCACTATTGTTAGCCTAAAAAAACCTCTTTGCCCACTTCAAGTTTATTAAATGCGTTAAGCCTCGCTCACCACTTTCTTTCCAGAGATAGAACAAACAGCGTTAAAAACAAAATGTGAACTTGTCTCAGCTTTAAAATAGTACGCACTTACAAATTTTTGTAGAATCGGAGTTTTAAATTTTAAGATAACAATTGCGCCCCCTGATGGTCATTTCAGAAACTCAAAAATAATTCTCAGCATTTCATTTCGACCGATTTACTTCATACATTTTCTTTTTCAAAATTCTAGGACCATCTCTTTCTCCCTTGTCGGCCTTTTTGGAACACCCGGTATGTGCTTAACAAATGTAGAGTTTTGGATCCAATATAAAAGAAAAAAAATCAAGCTTTTTTAGATATATCACTTTTGTTTTGTTATGTTAGTTGGACATCGGGAAACATTTATTTCTGGGTGGTGAACTTATCTATAAAGAAAAGAAATGGAAGTTAATTTTCTTTTAGCTATCCAAGGCCTCTCAGATAAACTGATAAAAGTCAAACGACAATAATGTGCAAAACGGACGATCGAATACAGGCAGCTGCATCATTTTCGAGATATTTTTAATTGGCAATTTAGATCTTGTATATTAAAAACTATATAAATATGTTGAAAATAAATACCAATGCTTTAAATTTGCCTAACTACCAAGTGCCTCACTTATAAAAGTTTTTGAAAATTGCGAAACTGTTCTTTTTGCACTATATTTGTCCACCATTTTAACATCCTTTAATTTTTTATCGGATATTTTTCAAAATTTTTCCTTCAGTGGCAATCTTATTTTTATTAAAAATTTCAAACATATTTGCAACTTGTTATCAAAGCAGTATTGTGTTTACCGTCTGTAAAAGATTTTGAGTTTTTAGAAATATTTCTGTATAATTTATGTTAAATATTGCTTGATGATTTTAAGGTTGAAGGTATGAACTGAAATGACTTTTGTTAACAATTAATTCAGCTACATTTCTCCTTCTAATTATTAGTCTTGCATTTTATAATTTAATTTAGGCAAACATAATTAACTAAGAAATTGATTCCTATGCTCAAGTGAGCTTATCTGGTTTTCATCATTTATTAGGGTTTTTGTACTTTTTTATCGCAATGGGGTATTTTAAGTTTTCTTGTAAACACATTAATATTGCGTTTCACCAACGTCTCTCTCTTTGACTTAAAGATATTATAATTCATTCCATTAGATGTGTTTGGCATAGAACTAATTATGAACTGGAAATAGATTGAATATTTTAGACATTTATTGCCAACAATAATAAGTAAAAAATACCTGGATTTAATGTATAAGTCACATAAAATTCCCAACTATTGAACTATTTGTGAATATCTGGATCAACTTGAGTGCAAGCAAAATGTTATAGAATGTTCCAACAAGAAAGTAAAGTTTAATATTTTGTATAAAATTTTGCTATTAAAATATTAGAATATTGTTTGGCCTTTTGGTTGGTTAATTTAAAACTGATATGTTTTGGTTTGTACTTATTCCCGATTGAGATTAGAGTCCTTAAATCGCATTTAGAATATCGATCTAAAAAAATCGGTTATAGACGATTTTTAAATAATTTTCAAAATAATTCTGTTTCAGATTTATTCCAATATTTATGTTCAATATCAATGGCTTCCCTGTATACCATAGCTTTAAAATTCGGCTAATGCTGCTATATTAATGTTGCAATTATGCTTAATATTCTGCAGTACGTACCGATACCCTATGATATAAGAATTACTAACACATTAATTTTTCACTTTTAAACTGACCGCTTAATGGT